GTAGGTACTATACAGTACATTCCCAGGATGCACAGTCGCACAGAGAAGCAGTGCGTACACAGCGAAGCTGTGTGTGTACCACATGAGTAGTACAGCCTCGGTTATTGCAGTAACCGGCTGTGCCGTTCCATATCTTGTGACGGCTGTATTAGGCAAGCTGTGTAAACCAGCGCCTGTTCAACATCAACTATCAGCGGTGGCACATCTGCCCGAGCCAACCCTGCCCTCACCGGTTGGACAACGGGGACGACAGCGACACCGACTGGTCCCAGTTCCCACACCACATACGACCTGAGGCGGAACAAGGCGCGCTCATCCAGGTTCGCTTAGCGACTCCCCTCCCAACGACAACTGAGTCAGGACGGCCGCTACGAGCAGCTGTACTCGCGTCCATCAGCCTACCAGGGACTAGACAGCCCAGTCGCTCAGCAACCTGCGCCCCAAGCCGTATCCCTAGCCCAGGTGGCTCCCCCCGAACCGAATCTCCTGCCGGAGGATCTCGTATCCCGCTTGATACCACCATCTTGCTCGTCACCAATCGTCTAGAACGACGAGCTTCAGGTGCGTTTGAACCTCCGGAAACCACCGAACCACCCCCGAGACCCCCACGAAACCCATCACGCTCCGAATCAAGCATGCAATCCCCTCGCAGTCCATCTCCCACCATGTCAGCCATCGACTCCAAGCTTCTCAGCCAACTCGCACCCCGAGACTACGATGGCAAGGAGGCTCAGGCCGGACTCCGCTTCGCCGCCATGGCCAAGCTTTACCATACGCAGCTGGTAGCTTCGTCGATCGCGGCCAACCTCGCATGGATCATGGTGTTGAACAAGCTGACAGACGACGCCGCTCGATGGGCTGGGCCCCACATCATCGATCTCGCTGACGGCAAGGTCGTTTGGTCGAACGTGGATGCCTTCGAGACGGCCTTCAAGGTCCACTTCTGCGCGGTCGATGACAAGAAGGCCGCACTCTCCGAACTCGTCAAGCTGTGCAAGGCATCGCACAAGCTCGGCACAGCCAAGGACTACACAGCGAACTTCAACGCTATCGCGGCACGCACTCCGCTCTCCGACGAGGACAAGCGGGCGCGCTATGTAGACGGTTTGCCATACAAGATCCAGAACGAGTTTGCGGTCACGGCGCATGAGGTCGACACACTGGAGAAGGCGCAGAAGGTCGCCCTGCGCATGGACCAGCAACTGGCCGAACGCGCCGAGGCGATGCCCAAGAACAAGGGCTGGGGCCGCCGTGGTGAACGAGTGGCAGCGGACCGACGTGGACCTGAGGAACGGTCCTGCTTTAACTGTGGCGAGAAGGGCCACATCCAGCGGAACTGCAAGAAGCCCCCGCGAGGACAGCAAGCAGCCGCGTCCACTGCCACTCCACCCAACCCCACCCCATCCTCGAACCCCTCGACCTCGGACGAGCTGGTCGCTCTCCGTTCGCAGCTCAAGGAGCTAAGCGATCGCATTGCCGCCGTCAGTCTTGCCAAGGAGAAGGAGGGTTTTTGATCCGAGCCACACTAGACGCTGCGCGTGCGGGCTCGTGTACCAATAGTCGCTATGCTGTACTGGGATCATCGTTAATCTATGAAGTCGACCATG